CATTTAGAAAGTAGACAAGAAGACCCTGTTTGGACCACATCTCTAATGCACCAAGTTCTACGCCACCGCTTGGGAACTCATGCCAATAAATATTTTTTTTTAAACAATAACTCATGGCAAAAAATATTGCATTACCTACTAGCTCATCCAATTTTAACCCATTCATTAGGGCATTCATGATATACCTTTAATAGTAATGGGTTGTTTTCATAGCTTTGTGAACGTCTACTGCTTATCTCTCCTTCCTTTAAAATAAATAATTGAGGAAAGATAGAAAGAACTTGTCAAGTATTATAAAACAACTCAAGCTCAATCAGGCGAGCAAAACATATCACATTAAATTGAGGGCAAGTTGTCTAGGTTTCATAATGCAATATTATATACTTAAAAATATCACATTAAATTGAGGGCAAGTTGTCTAGGTTTCATAATGCAATATTATATACTTAAAAATATCTGTATATAAGACCCTGTAATTGCATGGCATGGGAAACATATCACCATCAAACACAATGCCTCAACTCTCTAGCTCAAGCCTTCCCCCCACCATGGCCACCTTCTCAGTGACCAAATCGGACCCGGTTTGGGTCCGGCCAGCTCGAGATACGCCCTCCGGCGTGCTTGAGTTCTCGAGAATTGATAGCCAACCCGCTTTCCGATTCTTGATGAAAACCATACATGTTTATAAGTATGGTGAAGAGGCAGCAAAGAAGATCAGGGAGGCCTTAGCTGAGCTCCTAGTGCCGTACTACCAGTTCTCCGGGAGATTGACCGCGAGCGGTGAAGACGGACGCCTTAGATTGCTTTGCACTGGAGAGGGTGCCGGTTTTGTTGAGGGTGTTGCAAATTGCCGGCTTGAGGATATCAATTATCTTGATAAATTGGCATTTGAAGAGCTATATCATCTCATTTATGGTGACCCAAAGGAAATTGACATGACTCCTGTTGCTCTCATTCAGGTAATCACTATTATAGATATTAGTTGGCTCTTACAATTTTGTGGTTTCATTAAACACATTGTTCTCTTTAAGAAAAGTAGAAGAAGAGTGTAAATTTCTCAAGTTGTTAATAAATATACTGTTAGTAATTATCATTTAATAACTATGGTAAAATTGAAACTTCAAGAAACTATTTAAAATTTTGGTTTTTATATCATGGATAAACGCAAAATGAAGATATATGAGTTTTCTTTTTTCTTTTCTTCAAGCTAATGAGTTTTTCCATTGATATAACTATCATATTAATGTGTAATATTAGAAAAAGGGCCACCTAGTTTATATTGGTATAGAACACCAATAAAAAGGTAAAACTAGCCATGTTTCTTACATTACAGGAAAGAGAACAAGAACACAAGCCATTTTGTGTGTGAGTGTGTGTGTGTGTGTGAGAGAGAGAGAGAGTGAGAGAGAGAGAGAGAGAGAGAGAGAGTATTTTTTCATGGAAAGAGGACCTAATGTGTACAGAGAGAAAGAGAGTGTAGTCAAGCCAGTAAGAGAGGTACTCATTCCCTAAATGAGGGATCTAAAATCTTCAGTGGTTGACCAACTTTTTGCTTTACTGCAAATAAAAGACAGAGCAATGGAAGAGAAAAGGGTTGTGTGTTCTTCATTGATGATGTAACAAAAGAAAAAAAAAGAAAAAGAAGAAAAAGGGACTTTTTTTAGAGTACAACATCATCCCATTAGGTTTATTGTACAATGACCCGCTTATCTGCCCCATAGAAAAAGAGAAATACAGATCGAATGTCGCATCGAATCTTAAAAAAAAATAACCCGCTGGAGCATATTGTATACTTGTTCCGTTGAGTAAAAGACTGATTCAAGTACTATTTCCTTCTTCTTTTTTTAAGATTTTGAGACCCACTTTAGAATTGTTATGAGTTAAAAAATGAAAAATTTGAGTTTCTAAATACTTAGATATGAGAGACAAAAAATGAAAATTGAACAGTTTTTGTCCAATCTAAGGGCAAAAAAATGTGAATAAAATTACCTTTTGGGAGGTGGGTTGTCAGTTGAGGATGTTACATGGCTAAAATAATAAATATCAAACATAAGATTTCACCGAGGGAGTTAAGAGAGAAGATGGTCCGGCAGGAGAATTTACAAAACTTAATATAAAAAAAGCAGGTTACTTGTAGTTGGCCAAGTAAAGTTACATATTTCCATAGGATTGAACCTCATAGCAGTGGAGTCCCTTTCTTTCGCTATATGGAGCATGTGGTAGTTATCCATTAGCCTCACTCCTACTAACTTATATATCTCTAAAGTCAACTAATCTCTCTCTCTCTCTCCATTATTCCACGCTTTTGTTCGTTCCTATCTCTCTCTACATTTATAAATATGAAACGAATGAATGTAAAAGAAAGTATGATATCTTTCTCTCTCTAAATCTAAAAATGTGTAATTGATGAGCATAAGCATATGGTCCTGTTCATCGTTCCTATCTCTCTCTACATCTATAAATGTGAAATGAATGAGTGTAAAAGAAAGTATGATATATTTCTCTCTCTAAATCTACAAATATGAAATCGATGAGCCATAAGGATGTGGTCCTCCATGCGCATGGGGAGCCATAAGGATATGGTCCCTATGCCCGTGGGATGGGATGAAATTAGCGACCACCACAGGCAAAGGGTGGCCTTCTTCTTTTTTTTCGGCTTTTTCTTTCTTTTTCTTTTTACTTTTGAGTGTGTTAGGCTCAGGCCTAGCCCAGTACGACCTGAAAATGACCTCTTCAGCTCGTAGGGACTAGGGCCCAGCGAAGGCAAGAGTGGGCCGGGCCAGTCCCCACCTTTATACAGGGGTACATACATTAGCCTTGTGGTGGGCCTGTCAGCCTCGGGCTTATGAATTTTACTCAGGGCAGTTACCAGTCTGGTCATGGGCTAGCTTTGGCAAACGTTTCAAAGTTTAGCTTTGGGTCTGGCCCAGGCCGAGCCGTGCTCGGGTGCCACACAATCGGTCAACTCGTATAAAAAAACCAAAAAATATATATGTTTAAAAGATTAGGGGACGTGCTCGGGTAGCGCAATGCTGGTCTTGCTCGGCTTGAAAATATTTCGGGCCTACCAAGTAAGATGGGCCAGCATCAAGCCTTAACACAAGGGCCGCACTGGGTCCAAAACCAGCCCCTGGCTGCAAGCCCATGAGCCAGCCAGGGCCATAAACGGCCATTCTTTTACCAATGCATGTGGTCCATGATGTTGGGCTTGGACCGGGAATTCCATGTCCCAACCACATGTAGAAGAGCTGGGCCAGGGTTTGGCCTGAATGGCCGGCCGGCATCTCCTACTCCTGGTCCCTTGCAAGCATGTCCCACATATGTACACAGAGAGAGAGAGAGATCGATTGCTACTTACGAGCAAGAGTATGATTTGTAGTGATCATTAATAAAAAAAAACAGAACCATGCCTTGTAGTGGAGTTGCGTGACGAGTAAAACATGAGAGAGAGAGAAAGAATTATTTAACCACAGATGATGGTGAAAAGAAAAAGACAGAGAGAGATGATGTTGGGAGAGAGAATTATTTAACCAAAGATGATGGTGAAAAGAAGAAGACTTAAGTTTTCTTCCAATTAGAGAAGGTTATACTTATGTTCAAATAAGATTTGAGAAGGTTATATTTTATTCAGGGATGATTATGCAAAAGAGAAAATTAAACTCTTTAAAGAAACCGGAGATACAGGACGGCAGAGAGAGAGAGAGAGAGTTTTCTTTAGTCCTTGAATGATGGGTTTGAGAGAGCGATTTTATGTTCTTGCATAGGCTAAATTATGTTTGAAAAGTTGAAGCTGATTTCGTAATCGGACTGCTAGTGTCTTAGAAATTAGCCAAAACGGCTTGAAACAGGTAGGCTATATGTCTGGGTCTAAGACCTTTTGGTTTTCACCGGTTCTCGCTTTCATCCTTTTTTTTCTTTGTACTTTCAAATGAAAAAAACCTCATAAAATTGGTGAGCTAGCTAGGGGTGGCAATGGACTCAGATATGATCTGAGTCCAAAAATTAGACCTGGCGGGTTGGTTCTTGGTTCAAATCTTGGACCCAAATACTGTTCGGGTTGGGGTTTGGGTTCAGCTAGTTCGGGTCTAGTAATAGTTTTGGGGTCCCAATATAAAAAGATCCAGTTTCTATGCTGCCAAGCCCGCATATAAAGAAATGCAACCTTCTTAATAAATCTATTTTTGAGATGGATTTTAAGACTTAATTTTTAAGCACATGTAATCTTTAACATGGAGATTATGAATATGAAAAATTGAATAAAGTTTAAAAACTAAAAATAATAATTCTAATAAGACAGCATTTGGACCGTTAGTTTCCATTGTTTGTAGATGGAACACCTACTTCTTTACATTTTCTGGACAGTATATGTAAAAATGCGGTCCAGCCCACATAAAACAATTTTTTCATATATAAAATATATTTAAATATATAGATGTAATTTTTAGGCGGACTCCCGAACCCGACCCAACCTGTTTCCATCCCTAGAGCTGGCTTGGGCAGCTCCCAACTCATTAAGAACATATATAGGTGACTAGTTGGGCCCATTGATCCAGATTTTAAAAAACTCCAGAAATGAAGCAAGAGAGGGAAAGCACTTGGCTCAGCATACATGGCAATGAAATTGTAGTGGGAGTCCCAACGCGTTCGTTTACCTAAAAAAAAGAAGGGAAAAAATCCAAAGTAAATATCGGAAAGGAGTTAAATTTAATTTTTGAGCTTCAAATTTCATAGTGGGTATTAAAAGTTGATTTTAGAGATATTAGAGATTCTTGATACCCAAAATATTATTGCCTCTATTTTCCAGACGAGGATTCGAGATGAGAATAATTACTAAAATATTATTGTCTCTATCTTAGTGACATTTTTTCCTTTTATTATCCAGGTCACTGATTTCCAATGCGGAGGCTTTGCGATCGGTCTCCAACTGAGCCACTGCCTTGTCGATGGAATTGGCGGCGTCCAATTCCTCTCGGCTCTAGCCGAAATGGTTAAAGGAGCCGACTCCCCCTCTGTAGAGCCAGTTTGGAGCCGCCACTTACTTGGCTCAGCTCCACCAGCAGAGCCCATCGACCCAAGCCGACCACCCCTAGTTTTCCCTGACTATCGGCTCGAGCCAGTATCCTTTGACATCTCAACTCAAGCCATAAGCCGCATAAAACAAGCTTGCTTTGAAAAAACAGGTATGGTTATTGAAGGGCCATTGTCCGCATTAAACGTGTAGTATATATAGTTCAAGAAATGGCAAATAAGGACGTTTTTGGGTGGTGTATGCATCAATGATAGCACAATCATATACTCATGCCTACATAGTGGGGCATTTGGTGTGGGGCCCTATAACTACAGCATATTGGCTGGCCCCACATACAATAATCGTTGGTTTTAGGGAGGAAACTGGATTTATAGGGCTGCACCCTTATCAAAATAAGTAAAGCCTCACTTCATAACTCATCAAAAGTAATTTAAATATTGAAAAAATTTTAAATCGGTCATCTTGGTTTGAACATTACGGTTGTTGAACAAATGAGGATTTCGAACTCTAAAATAATATATATTGCAATGAATTATCTACACAGGCCATTTTGCCGTAAGAAGTACGTGTTTATAAATATATAAGATGTGTATCATTTATTAAGTTTCAAAGTTTATTGTCGGTGTTGAAAATTGATTTTAGAGCCATAATAGAGATTTATGTTGCCAAAAGTGCTTTTTTGGATGGATTTGAGGTGCGGCTTTATTTTGTTTTCAAAAAGCCTAAGCCCTATAAAAACTTCATCCTTTAAAGAAAAGGAAATTTGTTGTATATGTATCCTTGGGAATGTATTTGTACATGTAATCTCACGCACACATAAAGCATCCATCTCAAAGATAGATGTAAATTGGTGGTCCCTTCAAAAAAAGTAAAAAACCAATGGTCTAAAAATTTCCATTGGTAAAATTTTCATTTTCAGTTTTTGAACTTTATTATTTTTTTACATATTTATGATCTCCAATTAAAGATTATATAATTCTTAAAAAGTAGAGCCAAAATCCACC